TTAACAGAACAGTTCATGGTCATAATGGAGCTTCCACACCTCTGGACCTGACCTGACTCCACCTGTTGTTCTTGTTTGTTTTGATTTAGGTTTGAGGATGGACGTGTAAATAGGAGACAGATGGTGCCTGAGTCTATTTCTGTTTAGAGAAGGCTAAAATCTGCACCTCGCTGTCCTTAAATGAGCGGCCTGTGGTTTTAAGTGGAGCTGGACAGCAGACTGAGGTCCTGTGTTGCTCTCTCGTCTGTGTTGGTTCATCCTCTTGTGAAGTGTCCATTTAGTTTCTCCAGTGTAGCGTTCACTGCGGTCTTCACTGCACTGAATGGAGCAGACCACATTGCTTTCGGTTGGGGGTTCGTCACCTGCTCGTTTCTATGGAGACGTCATTGCTCTGCCTGGAATGTCCCACAGTGTGACATTAAACAGCTCGACTTTACATTTATTCAATCACAGGTGCAGGTTTTATAGTTCAAAAATAACTACATTTATACAACACCTTTCAAAACACCCAAAGTGTTTTACAAATCATTATTCATTCAATCAACACTCAGAGGTGTAAACTACTATTGTAAGAAAGTCTTTATTTATATAACACTTTTCACAGACATTTGTCACAAAGACACTTTACAGATCATTTATAGGTTCATTATTTTCTCTCCACACCCGGTGATGTAAACGACTGTTGTAGCCACAGCTGCCCGGGGGCAGACTGACGGAAGCGCGGCTGCCATGCCAGTCGGAGCCATTGGTCCCTCCGACCAACACCAACACCAACACACACACACTCCACTTTCATATAGGCAATGTGGGGGAAGTGTCTTGCCTAAGGACACAACAACAGTTTATGTGACTGGTGCCTCCTGTGGCTCCTGATTTTCCCAGTGTCTCCGTCCAAGTCCAGACCAGGACCAGACCAGGACCAGACCAGGACCAGACCTGCTGAGCTTCTGAGATCTGACGGGATCAGGCTTTGACAAGCCGGTGTGGCCACAACTGTAATTGTAGCCACAGATGCCCTGGGACAGACTGACAGAAACGTGGCTGCCAATCTGCGTCGTCGGCCCCTCTGACCACACACACACACACACACACACACACACACACCGCTTTCATACCAGGCAATGTGGGTGAAGTGTATTTTGTTATTTTTGTTTTTTTCTTTTCCCTATGTTCGATTTTCTTCTAACTCCAACTTGGACCTCGGATTTGACGTCAAGTCTGAGTTTGAAGCGTATTATTCTGTTTGACATGTTGGACGACGTGGATTATGATCGTGACTATTCCCTAATCTTATGAAAACTAAAGGTCAAAGGAGCTGTTCACTTGAAAACTACCACTTCATGACATCACAAGGTGGAACTGAGCATGTTAAGGTTTTTAGATGTAAACAGACGAATAATAAAGAGTTACTCAAACATGAATGAAACAAAACACAAGTCCAGCTCTGTTCTCGAGGAGGAAACAATATTATAACAAGACTTAAAGCTCACAAGAGTCAGTTTTGCGTGGTTTAAGACGTTTAAAACCATAATCACTCTTGACACACACAGGGACCATCTCACTAAATCAAGTCCGAATCAGAAAAACATAAAAAGTCATGAGCAGAGTCAGAGTCGGAGCTTTTCTTCCACAGACAGATGTAAACGTGTCGTCATCGCCCTCTCCCCTTTGGCCCGTGGACGCTCCAGACGCCAGGGGGACACACGGGGACACGGGGGGGACACACGGGGACACAGAGGGGACACGGGGGGGGGGGGGGGGGGGGGGGGGGGGGGGGGGAGGGGCCTGGCGTTTGGCCCGGCAGCTGGGGACTGCTGTGGGTCTTTGTGCTGCCGTGACCTTTGACCCGGCACACTCTCGCTCACACCTGCCCCGAGTCACACACACATAACCCACACACACACACACGTACACACACACACACACACACACACACACACGATTTTTACTTCTTTCGAGTGCCTGGATTTCGTTGTGTCTAAAGGAGCACTTCCTGTATTACCACATGACATCACAAGGTGGAACAAGGTTTAGAGTGGATACTTTTACTTTACTACATTTGGCAGCAGGTATCTGTACTTTCTGTTCTACTATATGTTTGAAAATGTGGTAGAACAGAAAGTAATAGTAATAGTAGTAGTAATCTGAAAAGTATTTTTAGTACAGTTTGAGTCTTGCTGAAAAGTCTGAGGGTTTATTTGAACACGTTCAGAGTCTGAGAAACACAAATATCCAAATAAAAACAGTTTGATTCATATGGAAGCACAGTTCCACCAGTAAATAAATCATAAAAGCCTCACAGAAACTTGTAATTATAAGATTAAAACAAAAATTATGACTTTTAAACTCGTAATTATGACTTTTAAACTTGTAATTATGACTTTTAAACTTACAATTATGACTTTTAAACTTACAATTATGACTTTTAAACTTGTAATTATGATTTAAACTCATAATTATGACTTTTAAACTTGTAATTATGACTTTTAAACTTGTAATTATGATTTAAACTCATAATTATGACTTTTAAACTTACAGTTATGACTTTTAAACTTACAGTTATGACTTTTAAACTTGTAATTATGACTTTTAAACTTGTAATTATGATTTCAACTCGTAATTATGACTTTTAAACTTACAATTATGACTTTTAAACTTGTAATTATGACTTTTAAACTTGTAATTATGACTTTTAAACTTGTAATTATGACTTTCTGTGAGGCTTTTATTTTTTATTTACTGGTGGGAATGGGTTTCCATAGATTCAGTTGTTTCTGTTGCACAAAATTCTGCACAAATCCTGACATTTGAAGCTTCATTAGTTCTCAAAATCTGTACGAAATACTGCTCCGTGCACCTTGTGATGTCATGAAGTGGTAATTTTCAAGTGAACAGCTCCTTTTACCTTTAGTTCAGCAAAGATTGGCTTTTCCAGGACTGAAATGATCCAAAAGATTCTAGTGAAAATGTGTGGAGTTTAAAAGGTGGAGCAGAGTGTTTTTTGTTTAAGAGAAGAACCTAAATGAGCAGGGTTTGTTTATGAAGAGGAAACAACATTAGGACGCAGTTTAAAGCTCACAGGAGTCAGTTTTGCGAGAAGTAGAACCTTTAACTTAAACGCTCAGAAACATAAATAAATATAAAGTCTTTATTGTGAGTTCAAGTTCATAAAACATCTGAACACAGAATATTGCGTTTGCATTCATGACTGCGGTCTGGAGCGACTCATGCAAACAGGAGCACCGGTCCAGGCCACACGCCCGACACAAACCCCCAAAACAGAATCTGACACGTAACAAAAGAAATCAGGAAGTGCAACGAGCGGCAAGCTACGAAAATCCACCGTCTGCAGAGTCCACGTGGAAGGGCATCTGGTACAAAAATAAATAAATAAATAAATAAATAGAATGCCAGGTCAGTAATCTGCAGCAGAAATTACAATCTGAGTTCTCCGGGTTTAAAGGTGCTTCATGAGACTTTGTGGATGAAGTGTCAGCTCTCTGCTCGTCTCCGTGGAAACGTGATCGCTTCGTCCGGACTGTTCCACATTATTACTTTAAACTTTAATCTTTCTTATTTTTATACCGTCACAGGTTTTGTTCAGATTGTACTTGTCACTTTGCTCCATGGTGTTTTGTTCCATTCAATTTTGAATTTTAAAAGCTGTTGAATTTCTCACTTTGAATTTTTGAACTTAAAAATGAATTATTTTGAATAATTTTTATTCTGAATTTGAGTTGCTGAAATTTTAAGTGTACAAAGTGTTCAAAGTGTTTAAAATTCCATTCATCCATTTTCTTCCATTTATCCGGGGCGAGGGTTGTGGGGGCAGCAGTTTTATTATGAGTTTTAAATTTATAATTATGACTTTTAGACTCATAATTATGACTTTTAAATGTGTAATTATGACTTTTAAACTTATAATTATGACTTTCAGGCTCATAATTATGACTTATAAACTTATAATTATGACTTTCAAACTCATAATTATGACTTATAAACTTATAATTATGACTTTTAAACTCATAATTATGACTTTTAAATGTGTAATTATGACTTTTAAATGTGTAATCATGACTTTTAAACTTATAATTATGACTTTTAGGCTCATAATTATGACTTATAAACTTATAATTATGACTTTTAAATGTGTAATATGACTTTTAAACTTATAATTATGACTTTTAGGCTCATAATTATGACTTATAAACTTATAATTATGACTTTTAAACTCATAATTATGACTTATAAACTTATAATTATGACTTTCAAACTCATAATTATGACTTTTAAACTTATAATTATGACTTTTAAACTCATAATTATGACTTTTAAATGTGTAATCATGACTTTTAAACTTATAATTTTGACTTTTAGGCTCATAATTATGACTTTTAAATATGTAATTATGACTTATAAACTTATAATTATGACTTTTAAACTCATAATTATGACTTTTAAATATGTAATCATGACTTTTAAATGTGTAATCATGACTTTTAAACTTATAATTATGACTTAAACTTATAATTATGACTTTTAAACTCATAATTATGACTTTTAAACTTATAATTATGACTTTTAAACTCATAATTATGACTTTTAAACTCATAATTATGACTTTTAAACTTATAATTATAACTTTTAATCTCATAATTATGACTTTTAATCTCATAATTATGACTTTATGACTTTATAGAAGTTTAATGCCACACTGCGGGACACTGTAGACAAAGCAATGACATCTCCATAGAGACCAGAGAAGTTGAACAATTCTCTGATTTGTGAATTAAAGTTCAAAAAGACCAAACAGGAAGAGGAGCTGAGTTTTAGCGAGAGCAGAGCACGTGTTCTGTAGGTCGTCTTCTGCATTATCCTTGTCAAATGTTTTTTAAAATTCATTTACTGTGGTGATCTCATCCTCAGAGAAACACTGGGACTATTTTATAATAATTACACTTTCATTTGCCTTAAGAAATGAACAAAGACTTGCCCCATAATGAATAATAACAAAGTCTTTGTTTGTGATTTCTTAAGTGCAGCTGCGGTTCGACGACGGAGGAACCACAGATTTCTGCAGAACAGTTTTCTAGAAAACAACAAAATCATACAACAATAACTTTCATTATGTACAAAAAATCTGAACAGGGACAGTCTGAAGCCAGGAGAATACAAAATGGAGCCCAGTCATGACTTGTTTTTGCATTAGTGCTGAGTCAGTGAGCGGAGGAGACTTCAGGCAACAGGAGACGTTTAGAGAAGGAGACGGGGGAGAGGGTGAGGGTCACATGGACTCGAACTCGTCCACCCTTTGCTTGGTGTTGCCCTGGCGGATCTGCCTGAGCGTCTTGTACTTGTCTCGTCCGGCGCGCACGTTCTCGGCGTGGAGCAGGTCGTTGTGGGTGCGTTTGGACGGATCCCGCGCCGCCTCCAGGTCTGAGCTCAGAGCCTGAACCACCACAGACACACACAGGTTTATGTACGTAAACACACTACAGGTCAAAATGTTTAGAACACACTCCCTTTTCCAGTTATTTATTACAGTTCAAGTTGTGCAAGTCCAGTGAAGAGCTTGAAATGGCACAAAGGTAAAAACTGAACAGACAGAGGTAAAAAAAAATGATAAAAGAATAAAACACAAGTCCAAGTTCTGCCAAAACCACCTCAGAAAAAAAGAGCAAGATGGTAAAGTTTGAAAACCTGGAGTGTCCAGCAGCAGCACAGTGTCCAGATTTAAACCCCAACTGGTTTGATATGAACTGGACAGAACAGAAGCAACCGACAAGTGCCACACAAAACTTCTGCCACAGACTCAAGAACTCACAACATTTGTGTTGTAAAAAGAACAGCCACGAGTGAGTTCAGCTCTTCTATCTGACAAAGGTCGACACACGTCAATCTAAAGTTTAGAATATGTTTTGGTTTATAAAGTAATTTATTTTTCAACTCAGATTGCTTATTTATTCTATGATTTCATTTTAGAGCAATGACACAATAAACAGTAAAAAAAAAATGGAAAAAGTGTGGTGTTCTAAACCTGTTGACCAGTAGTGTAGATATGAAGTAAATATGAACATATAGAGTAAATATAAACAAAAGTAAGTAAGTTTTTTATTTATATGGCACTTTTCACACACATTTGTCAAAAGAGTCTTTACACTTCATTATTCACACAAACTGGTGGTGATAAACACATTGTAGCCACAGCTGCCTGGGACAGACTGACAGAAGCGCAGCTGCCATCTGCACATCGGCACCACTCTGCACACACACACACACACACACACACACACACACACACACACACACACACACACACACACGCACGCACACACACACACACACACACACGCACACACACACACACACGACACACACACACACACACACACACACACACACACACACACACACACACACACACACACACACACACACACGCACACACACACATGCACACACACACACACGCACGCACGCACACACACACACACACACACGCACGCACACATGCACGCACGCACACACACACGCACACACACACACACACACACACACACACGCACGCACACACACACACACGCACACACACACGCACGCACGCACGCACACGCACACACACACACACACAGCACACAGACACACACACACGCACACGCACACACACACACACACACACACACACCACTTTCATATTCGGCAATGTGGGTGAAGTGTCTTGCCTAAGGACACAATGACAGTTTTTACAAATGGCGCCCCCCAGTGGCTCCTTGACTTGTTTTTCTTACTGATAATATTTTAAGAAATAAAACATGAAACACAAATAATGTTGTAAATAAACCCTGTGTACCTGTAGCTCCCTCCGGCGGCGGCGCTGCTCCCTGTGCCCGTCTCTGCCGGCGCTCGGTGGCTCCTCGCTCGGCTCTTCAGTCGGCTCCGGGGCCGGAGGAGCCACGGCCGCCTTCAGCTCCTCACGAGTCTTCTCCAGATCCTCCTGAGCCGACAGGGCCTGAGGGGAGACCACAAGCCCAATCAGATCTGCACTCGCTGATGTTTAAAAGTAGAGACGGGCCGATATATCGAGCCGATATTTGGACTTATTAGCATATTTACTATCGGTCTTAAATCTCAAGCACAGGACGATATTTTGTTTTTATTCAATCTGTGACTAACACTCCTGTCGTAAAGGTTTGTGGTAAAACAGGGTCTGGGGTTTTTAAATTACATCATTGGGGAAAAAGATTCAATATTTGTTCTAAATATCAGCCCAAAAATATCGGCAGAGATGATCGGTGATTATCAGGTGCTCTGGATTCTGAACAATCAGCATCGGTCATGAAAAAAAATCAGTCGATCCCTATTTAAAAGTAAGATTCTGATTTGATAATTGCACAAACTCAAACAGCCCTTTCTCTTCACTCTGCTCAGATCCTTCAGGTCTTTTTCTGCTCAGGTCCTTCAGGTCTGGAGGATCTGAGGAGCAGGTCTGACCTTGTGCTGCCACTCTGACGCCTCGTCCTCCTTCTTCCTCTTGGCCTCCTCCAGAAGAGCGATCTTCGCCGTGAACTCGGCCAGCTCCGCCGCCTGCGGGTCACAGAGCGCCGTTACTATTTTATCAACACGAGTGCATTCTGGCGGCGTCCACCAGGGGGAGCGCGCGTTACCAGCTGCTCCTGCGTCTTCTTCTGGTCGGCGGCCTGTTGCGCCAGCGCCGCCTTGGCCTCCTCCGCCGCCTGACGCTCCCTGTCCAACCGCTGAGCCTCTTCTGCCGCCCGACTCCTCTCCTGCTCCAACTCCAGAGCCCGACGGGTCTGCTCCTCCAGCTCTAACACACACACACACGTCTATTACACACACACACATACACACACACACACACACACACTAATATTACACACACATACACACACATACACACACATAAACACACAAACACACACACACTCTCTCCTGCTCCAACTCCAGAGCCCGACGGGTCTGCTCCTCCAGCTCTGAACACACACACACACACTAATATTACACACACATACACACACACAAATATTACACGCACACACACACACACACATATAAACACACAACACACACACACACACACACGTATATTACACACACACACCACACACACACACACATAACATACACACACATACACATATATTAGTGAAGGTGTGTGGAGTTTAAAAACACAGTGGACCACTTCCTGTATCTCCACATGATGACATCACAGGGTGGAACAGTGGGTGGTTTTCAGTTTGAGGGAAGGGCTCAGTGTAAATGTGCAGGTTTTGTGCGTTAAACATGTGAATGAAACAAAAACACAGCTCCAGCTCTGTGTGTGTGACGAGGAAACGACACGAGAACAGATCAGAGAACAGTTTACAGAACGTTCTCCAGAGTTCTCCAGAGTTCTCCAGAGTTCTCCAGAGTTCTCCAGAGTTCTCCAGAGTTCTCCAGGGTTCTCCAGAGTTCTCCAGAGTTCTCCAGGGTTCTCCAGAGTTCTCCAGAGTTCTCCAGGGTTCTCCAGAGTTCTCCAGAGTTCTCCAGAGTTCTCCAGGGTTCTCCAGAGTTCTCCAGAGTTCTCCAGAGTTCTCCAGAGTTCTCCAGAGTTCTCCAGAGTTCTCCAGTTTCCAGAGTCCAGTTCTCCAGGTCCAGAGTTCTCCAGAGTTCTCCAGAGTTCTCAGTTCTCCAGAGTCCAGTTCTCCAGAGTTCTCCAGAGTTCTCCAGAGTTCTCCAGAGTTCTCCCAGAGTCTCCAGAGTTCTCAGAGTTCTCCAGAGTTCTCCAGAGTTCTCCAGAGTTCTCCAGAGTTCTCCAGAGTTCTCCAGAGTTCTCCAGGTTCTCCAGAGTTCTCCAGAGTTCTCCAGAGTTCCAGACCTTTCTGAGCTTTGTGCGTCTGCTCCTCGATCTGCCTCAGTCTCTCCATCAGCTCTCTCTTCTCCCTCTCCATCCTCTCCCGGTCTCTCTCCGCCTGCTCCCGCCGCCGCTTCTCACTCTCCAGCAGCGCCCTGCGACGACACACACACACACACACACACACACACACACACACACACACACACACACACAACACACACAAACACAAACAAACACAAACACACTGTCAGAGCGACGGACTGGGTGAAGAAGCAGACTGACGGAATGTGACGGACAAAACAGTGAAATAAAATCCCAGGATCATGTCGAGCGGGTCAATACGAACATTTAACTCTTTCCCCCGTGAAGACGACATTTGACGACCCTCCTTCAATCTTTAATGACGTTTTTTGACTCCTCCGCTGTTTCACTAAAGACGTGATTTGACGACCATTAGAAACAACTCGGTTTTTCACATGTAAACAGAGGCTGCGATCGGTCGGGGCCACTACAACCCACACTAGACTGACCGATAGGATTCAAGGATACGATTTTGCAGATTTTTTTCCTAAGTTACTTGAAGAAGTGAAGATTGTAGCTTCCGGAAAAAAACACAACACGAAACACATGCAATGGAAAGATTGTGGGGCTGCGGTGCACAGTTTCACAAATAATGAGGAGCGGATGTATTTTATGGATAAGTTTAGAGAAAGTGACTTTTATAGATTTCAAAGTGATGATGAAGAAGATTATAAAGTGGAAAACAGCGACAGCGACGGACTTTCGGAGAGTGAATCTTACGAAGGTGAGAATGTCGGTGATGCGTCTGTGTGGAGTCCTGCGATGTCCGAACAAACTATCGGGGGACTTTTACTCAATTATGAACCAAAATTGGGTTTCCAGAGATACCAAATATGTCTGTTTCAATAAAGTTCATGAGTGTGAAAATAATTTATAATCACTCATGGAAGTCTGTTTTCTTTTATGCAGTTATGCTCTATGGGCAGCTCAGTAATATATGTCTGGGTTGTTCCTAGTAGGCGTCCAGGGGGGAAAGAGTTAAAGGTTGTATGGAGGATTTTTTTTTTGTTTCAAATTGTCAATGAAAGATTAAAATACCATTACAGAGACGCAGCAGCTTTGTAATTATGATGACCAAAAAAAAAAAAGAATGAAAATCTATCAACTGTAGATGTAGTGAGGCCAGATAAACATCAGCCAATAGAAAACGAGGCTCCCTCATTTTCTATTGGCTGTTAGGTTGTCAATCAAACTCCCTAGTGTAACTGACTCGTCGGAGCGCGGGGATTATGTGGTTTACGCAGCGGTTCTTAGAGGCTTTTTCAAACTGACGCTTCCTCACATTTCGTACAAAGTTTGTTGAGACGGCGGACGAGAATCCACGACCAGTTCGCCGCAAAAGAAAGTCAGTTTTTGAGGTCGCTGAAAGAAGAAGAGAAGGAGAAAAGGAGCGAAGCTAAACTGAGGTGATTCTTGGAGATTCCTTCCAGTGATGGTGCGAATGAAACAGACGAAGGGTCTAAAAACTGACGCGTCGGTCGATAAATTACCTCTAGACAGGAAACTTCAACAGTAATTCTGAACGCGCACAAGGACTGTCACTGTATTTCTCTTAAAAAAATCCTCTATACAACCTTTAAGACCAAAATGACGAGGCTCACAGCAGCAGGTCCAGAGAGAGGAGGAGAGACAGTTCTTCAATGTAAAGTGGACCTGGAAGTGCCCCCATGCTCACTTCCTGTTCATCCATCCAGTTTCGTGACCCGGCCTCGGATAAAGCGTAAATGTGACCCAGGACACTTGGATATGTGCTCCTGAAACCGATACATATCTGATCTTTTGACATGTGACTTCAGTCCGAACGGCCAAAGTGCAGAGTCTCGTCAATGGAGGGGAAGCGAGGTTAGTGGGTTTATTCATATCTGGGGGGATCTCTGTGTTACGGCCCTTTAGTTCTAATTTGTTTTGTGTGATTTTGCTGAGCACTCCTGATTCCTGCTGCGGGAGTCCTGGCCCGTGATTGGTGGGGCATCTCTACGCCCACCTCACCTGCAGCCACCGCCCCCGACTTAAGGAGACGACCAGCACCTGTTCGGGCTGCTGGTCTTGGTGGTCAGTCTGCCATTTTGTGTTCGTGTGTGTAGTTTAGTTTAGTTCTGTTTTGTGCCTTTTTTGATTTGGTCACTTGATTCTGTTTGTGGGTTTCTGTGGTTTAATTTGGGGAACTTGTGTTTTAGTTTAGTGTGTGTCCCTTTGTTAATCACTCGTTTTGTGTAAGTCTGCGTGACGCCTTTTATGGCACAAAACTCAATTTATTCTATTGTTCTGTTTCCATTTTACATCTTGGTTTTATTTTTGTTACTTCCCTGTCCCTAGCAGAGCTGGGTCGTAACACTCTGTTTTCAGGACAAACTGAAGGAATCTTATCGGAATCGAGCGGTTTTTGAAGTGATTGCCAAAGAAATGTCCGAGCGCGGCTACGGTTGGTCCTGGCTCCAATGTCAATGAAAAATAAAGAGCCTGAGCCAAATCCAAGGAGGATAAAGACTCAAACAAACGAAGCAGCCGTGGACGTGTGAAATGAACATTTTACCAACAACTGGACAAGATTTTGGGAGACAAACTCAGAGTTTAGACGACTTCTATAAACACTGAGCAAGTTTGCTGTGCATGAGCGACACTTTTGGAGTTTAATGTTCACACTGGAGATCACAGACAAGTCACATTTAACTGGAAATGTGAACGACCTCTGAGGAAACTCATTTTGGCCGCTTGTATCCATCATCTCATCCTTTCGGTCATTACCCAAAGCTCATCCTAAATATGAGATAAACTGGTTCATGTCAAATACAGCTTTTACCGATAACAATAATAATGCAGATTTATTCTTAAAGGTTGTATGGAGGATTTTTTTGTTTTTGTTTCAAATTGTCATTGAAAGTTTAAAATATCATAACAGAGATGCAGCAGCCTTGGAATTATGATGACCAAAAAAAAAAAAAAGAATGAAAATCCATCAACTGTGGACGTGTTGAGGCCAGAGAAACATGAGCCAATAGAAAATTTTCGTGATTTATACAACGGTTCTTAGAGGCTTTTCCAAACTGTCACTTCCTCACATTTCGCACAAAGTTTGTTGCGACGGCCGACGAGAATCCACGACCAGTTCGCTGCAAAAGAAAGTCGGTTTTCGAGGTCGCTGAAAGAAGAAGAGAAGGGGAAAAGGAGCGAAGACGAACTGAGGTGAGATTGGAGATTCCTTCCAGCGATTGTGCGACTGAAGCAGACGAAGGGGTTGTTCTCAGTCCTTCGTCGGTCGCTAAATTATTTCTAGGCAGGTCACTTCAACAGTAATTCTGAACACACACTGGCTGTAAACGAGTGTGATTTCTGGAGTAAAGAGGCGGGAGGAGGAGATGTTTCTACTGAGGAGCTGTGGAGGAGGAAGGTGGTGTCACACATGCACAACATTTGGAAAAAGGACGGTCGCTGTATTTCACTTTCCTTAAAAAATCCTCTATACAACCTTTAAGTGCAAAAAAAAAACAGGCAGGATTGAGAAGAGAAGAAAAGCATTTGGGCTTTTCAGAATTTTACCACTGCTGAAGGCTTATAAATAAAATAAACTCAATTTGGAACTGGATAAATAAATACTCATAATAACGAAGTCATGTGTTCCAATAAGAACAGTGTAAACAGTGGGAGAGATGGAGACCATACATAGTGCAGTGCTGCCCTCTGCTGGTGTGGCTGTGTGTGTGTTTGTGACATAAGAAATTAATTTAATTTTTTTACAGAAATCCACTAGGAATATACATTTGAGAAATATTTGTTCAGTGAAAATGTTGTTTACTGAAATTTATATACGTAAATAAAGTTGATGAAATGATCTTTTATTGAACCTTCTGTTTAATATGGAAGATATTTGATACAATTTTATTTTAATTTGATCCAATAGATTTTTTCATTTTAAGTCCCGCCGATTCAGTTCCATTTACTTTTACTTCCTTGTCGTTTTGGTCTTAAAATATTCGTCTTAACTCGCTCTACGTGATCCTGGGGCTTTTATTTCGGTATTTTGTTTGTGGTCTCAGCTCCAAATTCGCTGCTGTAACTGGGAGCCTCGATGAGCCTCATTTGACTGAAACTGACACACTCCCTCAGTCCACGTCTTTCTACGGTCTATCATGTGAAATGTTTGTGTACTTCTCCATCAGTTTGTGTTGTGTTCAGGGTCGTTCACACCAAAGCGTCAAAAAACACCTTGACGTTTCTATTTGGAGCCTTTGCATTTGAGTTCAGACGCCCCCGACGCTCGTGTCTTTGACGCCGTGGACGAACGGGAGAAAAATACTTGATGCGCGTCCGTTGCCCTGGAAACAAGAGCCCGGTCCTGGACTTTACCCGAAGCAATGTCAGACCAGACTGAGAGACTTTAGTGTTTTTATGACATAAAACATCAGCGGAGGAAATCGACTCGACGACTGGAGCCAGTTTATATTTATGCTCCACTAATGACACTGGATCAGTCCCGGTCTAGTCCTGGTCTAATACCGGTCTAGTCCTGGTCTAATACCGGTCTAGTCCTGGTCTAATACGGTCTAGTCCTGGTCTATTACCGGTCTAGTCCTGGTCTAATACCGGTCTAGTCCTGGTCTAATACCGGTCTAGTCCTGGTCTAATACCGGTCTAGTCGTGGTTTAGTCTCGGTCTATTCAGGGTCTAGTCCTTGTTTAGTCCCGGTCTAGTCCTGGTTTAGTCCTTGTTTAGTCCTGGTCCGGTCCTGGTGTAGTCCTCGTGATCGTCTCGGTGATTGTGGTGTATATATTTATTCTCCGTTCATGTTTGTGGTTCTGGTTCTCGGGTTTTTCTTCCTGATAATAACGTCGCTGCGTCTCTGGATACTCGTCCCTGATTGGTCGACGCGGCGAGTCTGACGCGAAAAGTTCAGCATTTTCAACTTCTTGACGCTGACGCCTCGGACGCACGTCTTGACCGCTGACGCCAAAACGCTCAAGACGCACCGCGCTGACGCCGAAGACGCGCCGCAAAAACGCAGGACGCTGTAGTCGCGCGTCCACATCGACTTTACATAGAAACTGGACGCTTTGACGCCGAGGTGTGAACGAACCTTTACAGGTGAGATGTTTGTGTACTTCTCCGTCAGTTTGTGTTGTGTTAGAGGTGAGATGTTTGTGTACTTCTCCGTCAGTTTGTGTTGTGTTAGAGGTGAGATGTTTGTGTACTTCTCCGTCAGTTTGTGTTGTGTTAGAGGTGAGATGTTTGTGTACTTCTCCGTCAGTTTGTGCTGTGTTAGAGGTGAGATGTTTGTGTACTTCTCCGTCAGTTTGTGTTGTGTTAGAGGTGAGATGTTTGTGTACTTCTCCATCTGCTTGTGTTGTCTCTCCTCTCGGGCCTGGGCCTTCATCTGCTGGACCTCGATGGTGTCTGGTTTCCTCCTCCTCATGTAGAGCTCGTGGTTGCCCATGCACAGCAGCAGGATGCGCTTGTTGATCCTCAGCCGCGGCGCGAAGAACTCAAAGTTCTCACAGGAAAAAGAAGAAAGAAAGAAAGAAAACGTTGAGATGTTAGATGTTACAGGTGCTCAGGTCGGTTTCTTTTTCATTATTGTACGTCTGTAATGGTCACTTAAAGCTGCACTGTGTCACTTTTCTAGTGGAGGGTTCGTCAAAAGTTTTTTTTTCTCCATGGAGATGTTATTGCTTTGGCTGGAATGTTTCACAGTGTGGCATTAAACGGACCAAAACGGACTAAGATACAGGCAGACATGTTGAGGACAGACTGAGGACAGACAGAGGACATGTTGAGGACAGACAGAGGACATGTTGAGGACAGACAGAGGACAGACTGAGGACAGACTGAGGACAGACAGAGGACATGTTGAGGACAGACTGAGGACATGTTGAGGACAGACAGAGGACAGACTGAGGACAGACAGAGGACATGTTGAGGACAGACTGAGGACATGTTGAGGACAGACAGAGGACAGACAGAGGACAGACTGAGGACATGTTGAGGACAGACAGAGGACATGTTGAGGACAGACAGAGGACAGACTGAGGACAGACTGAGGACAGGTTGAGGACAGACAGAGGACAGACTGAGGACATGTTGAGGACAGACTGAGGACATGTTGAGGACAGACAGAGGACAGACAGAGGACAGACAGAGGACAGACGGAGGACAGACTGAGGACAGACAGAGGACAGACGGAGGACAGATGGAGGACAGACTGAGGACAGACAGAGGACAGATTGAGGACAGACAGAGGACAGACTGAGGACAGACTGAGGACAGACAGAGGACAGACGGAGGACAGACTGAGGACAGACAGAGGACAAACTGAGGACAGACGGAGGACACGTTGAGGACAGACTGAGGACAGACTGAGGACAGACAGAGGACAGACGGAGGACAGACGGAGGACACGTTGAGGACAGATTGAGGACAGACAGAGGACAGACTGAGGACAGACTGAGGACAGACAGAGGACAAACTGAGGACAGACGGAGGACACGTTGAGGACAGACTGAGGACAGACAGAGGACAAACTGAGGACAGACGGAGGACACGTTGAGGACAGACAGAGGACAGACTGAGGACAGACAGAGGACAAACTGAGGACAGACGGAGGACACGTTGAGGACAGACTGAGGACAGACAGAGGACATACTGAGGACAGACTGAGGACACATGACGACATGTTGAGGACACATTGAGGACACACTGAGGACACACTGAGGACACGTTGAGGACAGACAGAGGACACACTGAGGACACATTGAGGACACATTGAGGACACGTTGAGGACACGATGAGGACATGTTGAGGACATGTTGGGGACAGAGGACAGAGGACAGACAGAGGACAGACTGAGGACATGTTCAGGACACATTGAGGACAGACAGAGGACACGATGAGGACACGTTGAGGACAGAGGACAGACTGAGGACATGTTCAGGACACGATGAGGACAGAGGACAGACTGAGGACACATTGAGGACACATTGAGGACACGTTGAGGACATGTTGAGGACATGTTGAGGACAGAGGACAGAGGACAGACTGAGGACAGACAGAGGACACGATGAGGACACATTGAGGACACATTGAGGACACGTTGAGGACATGTTGAGGACATGTTGATGACAGAGGACAGAGGACAGACTGAGGACAGACAGAGGACACGATGAGGACACATTGAGGACACGTTGAGGACACGTTGAGGACATGATGAGGACATGTTGAGGACAGAGGACAGACAGAGGACAGACTGTGGACATGTTCAGGACACATTGAGGACAGACAGAGGACATGATGAGGACACGTTGAGGACAGAGGACAGAGGACAGACTGAGGACACGTTGAGGACAGAGGACAGAGGACAGACAGAGGACAGACTGTGGACATGTTCAGGACACATTGAGGACAGACAGAGGACACGTTGAGGACAGAGGACAGACTGAGGACACGTTGAGGACAGAGGACAGAGGACAGAGGACCGTGGCGTTCACTCACTGGAGCTTTCTTGTCGATGGGTTTTATGACAAACTTCTTGTCGGTGAAAGAAATGTTCCTGATCTCACTCCAGGGAAAACCGATCTTTGGAGACAACCTGAGACAAAAGACGGAGTTTAAAGGGTTTAAAGGGTTTAGAGCCTGAAACCCAACACAACATACAAGGTTTAAAGGGTTTAACGGGTTTAAAGGGTCTACAACCTGAGACACAACACACAGGGTTTAAAGGGTTTAAAGGGTTTAGATCAGGAGTCTCCAACCTGTAGCTCGGGAGTTACCAGTAGATCTTCACCTCCTTCCAAGAAACTCTCCAAACAAATTTCCAAATCATACATATTGTGCTGAATAACTCAAATTGGATTGATTAAATGTCGATTTCCTTTGTAACTGTGTCATTTTGATTTTGTGCACTGATTACTGGATAAAGGGTGTTATGTTTTATCGACTTCATCTACGACTTTCCGTGGCTCTTATATTTACTCTGTTTCTAGTGAACGATAAAGTGAGTCACTCTCTAGTATTTTCGTTTACAGAAAGTAGCTGACAGGAGGAAAAACGCTGGAGACTCCTGGTTTAGAGTCTGATGAGCCGGAACCTTTTACTCTCTGAATGGAACAGAACATAAAACACCAGACCAGTGAGAACGAGGGACGTGGAAGTAACAGTACAGATAACAGCAGCAGCAGCAGTAGTAGTAGTAGTAGCAGTAGTAGTAGTAGTAGTATTAGTAGTAGTAGCAGTACTTGTCTGCGTGCTCGTAGATGTTGAGGCCCAGGGCGTCCACTCCTAACCAAAGTTCGGTTCCTTTCTTGTTCTTGATCTGGAAGTAGTTCACTCCGTACATCTCCAGGTCCTGAGCGATCTTCAGGTACTCCATCATGGCGTCCTCCCTGAGTACACACATTTACTCAGAGTACTGCAAGAGTACTGCAGTACACACACACTCAGAGTACTGCAGTACACGCACACTCAGAGTACTGCAGTAGTACACACTAGTACACACTCACTATGTTCACATCACAGGAGTGTTCAGAGTGAGCGCAATGTCGCCCATAGCTCCAGTCAAATGAAGCTCACTGAGGCCTG